TCTTACTTTGTTGTTTCTCCTTCCAACAACTAGTCTGGATATAATCAATGTAATCCTTCTCTATTGTCTTCTCCAGGTCATGCAGAGAAGCTCCTCTGTAGGCCTTGTCAAAGTTTTTATCCACAAAGTAAGGCACCTGCAGGTTCTGAGTTTCTCTAGAAATGGTGTAGCCCAAGGTCCTGAAACAAGGAGAGAGAGGCTCATGTGAGCTCATAATATTTGGCAATATTACTCTTAGCACTGACCTCACAGATATCATCACCATCATCTGCTCACAGAGCAGAGGTAGATATCATTTTCTAATGTACCCAACACTTCTTATATCCTTAGCAAAATTATACGTATAACATCATCATAATTGTATTATGTAAGCACGTTCATACCATGAATTCAGCTTCAGCATAGTTTATTCTCTTAAAAGACTCACCTCTCTTTTACTGCTCTCTGTGCTAAAAGAGAATGCTGAATGCTTAAAACAAACAATTTTTATGTTGTGTAGGATCTAGTATGGTACCTGACAGAGTAGGTTATTATAAATGCTGGTTGAATGAACTGATTATGTTATATAGCAAATTAAAAAACAGATAGCTCACACCAACCTAGAAGCAATATTTTGGACATGATAAAAAGTACTTCGCACATAGCTGCTAACTGAGAAATGCAAGAAACTCAGACAAAATATTTCTTTTTTTTTTGGAGACGGAGTCTCGCTCTGTCGCCCGGGCTGGAGTGCAGTGGCCGGATCTCAGCTCACTGCAAGTTCCGCCTCCCGGGTTCACGCCATTCTCCTGCCTCAGCCTCCCGAGTAGCTGGGACTACAGGCGCCCGCCACCTCGCCCGGCTAGTTTTTTGTATTTTTTAGTAGAGACGGGGTTTCACCGTGTTAGCCAGGATGGTCTCGATCTCCTGACCTCGTGATCCGCCCGTCTCGGCCTCCCAAAGTGCTGGGATTACAGGCGTGAGCCACCGCGCCCGGCCCAAAATATTTCAATGATGCTTCAGAGCTAACTCTCTGTGGGTCCAAGGCATCCAATGGTATCTGGTGCTCAGCAACATTAAGAGTACTGAGCTGACTAAATTCTAACCGTAAGGAAATACAGAAGGGACCTCAAACTCAAGTTAAAACAATGTGGCCTGGCGCGGTGGCTCACGCCTGTAATCCCAGCACTTTGGGAGGCCGAGACGGGTGGATCACGAGGTCAGGAGATCGAGACCATCCTGGCTAACACGGTGAAACCCCGTCTCTACTAAAAATACAAAAAATTAGCCGGGCGCGGTTGTGGGCGCCTGTAGTCCCAGCTACTCGGGAGGCTGAGGCAGGAGAATGGCGTGAACCCGGGAGGCGGAGCTTGCAGTGAGCCGAGATCGCTCCACTGCACTCCAGCCTGGGGGACAGAGCGAGACTCCGTCTCAAAAAAAAAAAAAAAAAAAAAAAAAGTTAAAACAATGTGACAGAAATGTGTAGAATCCAAGATGGTTTTCTTCAAACTGGACAAATTCTACTTAAAGGGGCTACATTTTATTTGGCCTTTTCCCGGCCCTCTCCTTAGATCCTCTCTAATTAGAGTAAGAGCCGAGGCCATGACTGCTCTCCCCTCACTCTAAGGGGTTGGGGGATCTTACAGAGCAGGTCCGTGCTTACCCCGCGGGCCTCACAAGAAAGAAAGCTGAAGTGCCATATGGAAAAACATGAGAAGCTGGGAAACAGAGGAAATCGGTGTGTGACCTGATGGCAAAAACCTCTCTCTGAAGGCTGGGCGCAGTGGCTCATGACTGTAATCCCAGCACTTTGGGAGGCCAAGACAGGTGGACATCAGGTGTTTGAGACCAGCCCAGCCAACATGGTGAAACCCAGTCTCTACTAAAAAATACAAAAATTAGCCAGGTGTGGTGGCACATGCTTATAATCCCAGTTACTCAGGAGGCTGAAGCATGAGAATCACTCGAACCCGGAGGAAGGAGATTACAGTGAGCCAAGATTGCACCACTGCACTTCAGCCCGGAAGCCTGGGCGACAGAGCAAGACTGCCTCAAAAATAAAAACAACAACAAAAAACCTCTCTTTCAGCCTCAGCTTCGCTCTCTGTAAAAGGAAAATACTAGCTGGGCCCAACAGCTCAAGCCTGTAATCCCAGCACTTTGGGAGGCCGAGGTGGGTGGATCACCTGAGGTTAGGAGTTCAAGACTAGCCTGGCCAACATAGTGAAACCCTGTCTCTACTAAAATATAAAAATTAGCCGGGTGTGGTGGTGTGTGCCACCTGTAATCCCAGCTACTCAGGAGGTTGAGGCACAAGAATTGCTTGACGGGGAGATGGAGGTTGAAGCGAGCCCAGATTGCACCATGGCACTCCAGCCCAGGTGACAGAGCGAGACTCTGTCTCAAAAAAACAAAAACAAACAAAAAAGGAAAATACTGACCTGGATTGACCTGGAATGATGGTCTTCAGTCTACAGTGATCACTGACAAAGACTCTTCCTGTTATGTATTGTCTAATAAATTCTACTTTTAAAAGATTTTTTCCCACTGAACTATAATCATGAACAATAATTTATTATTCATTACTAACAAAAAAGATAATCTAGTGATTCTCAAACCTCAGTGTGGACCAGGATAATCTGGAGGGTTTGCTAAAACTCAGGCTTCTGGTCCTACCCCCAGAGCCTCTAATTCAATGGATTTGGAGGGGCCCTAGAATCTGCCTTTCTAACATGTTGCCTGTTGATACTGATGATGGCTGGTCTGGGGACCAAACTTTGGAAACTGAATCAACTGAAATAATTAATTGAAGAAATTTTTAAAAATCCTATCAGAGTTTATAATCTGTATGCAAAAAGCATTACAAGGAATTTCTCTATCTTCAACAAAAACAAAAAAATTGAAAATAATCACTTGATCCCCATTATGAATACTATGCTCTGAGACCCACAGGGTCCAGCAATCCTATCAACAGCTCAACAGAGTCTTTCTTTTTTTTTTTTTTTTTTGAGACGGAGTCTCGCTCTGCCGCCCAGGCTGGAGTGCAGTGGCCGGATCTCAGCTCACTGCAAGCTCCGCCTCCCGGGTTTACGCCATTCTCCTGCCTCAGCCTCCCGAGTAGCTGGGACTACAGGCGCCCACCACCTCGCCCGGCTAGTTTTTTGTATTTTTTAGTAGAGACGGGGTTTCACCGTGTTAGCCAGGATGGTCTCGATCTCGTGACCTCGTGATCCGCCCGTCTCGGCCTCCCAAAGTGCTGGGATTACAGGCTTGAGCCACCGCGCCGGCCAACAGAGTCTTTCTAACTCTACCATGGTGTGATAATGTGTTCATCTAAACCTTAAATTCTACTGATCCTTCAAAAACCAGCTACTGCTGTTCTGCAGCTGACCAGATGATGTCACTATAGAACAAAACAATCTATTTCCTGAGGCACACAGGAGACTGCTTCAGTATTTTTGAGTCTCAGCACCATGACTACCCAGCTGTTCCTTTAAACATCAAATTGGTGTTTTCTACAGCAAAAGGTGAAATGAAATGTTAGTAATGTATCAGCAAAACCTTCAAGTCTTTCACCCCCAGACTGTTACTGAAAAAGATTGAGAAATATCAGACTTACGATTTATAGAACAGACTATATGGGGGATTAGTAGCCAGCAGCTGAGTAATGACAGATATAATCACAATCACAAGAACTGGAAGTAGCTGAATAAATGCAGAATATGTAGTCTGAAAAAGAAAAAAAAAACTTGCTGTAAGTGCTTTTTTTTTTTTTTTTTTTTTTTTTTCTCCGTCGCCCAGGCTAGAGTGCAGTGGTGCGATCTCGGCTCACTGCAAGCTCTGCCTCTCAGGTTCACGCCATTCTCCTGCCTCAGCCTCCCGAGTAGCTGGGAGTACAGATGCCTGCCACCACGCCCGGCTAATTTTTTTTGTATTTTTAGTAGAGATGGGGTTTCACCGCAGCCAGGATAGTCTCAATCTCCTGACCTCGTGATCCACCCACCTCGGCCTCCCAAAGTGCTGGGATTACAGGTGTGAGCTACTGCGCCTGGCCTGTAAGTGTCCTTTATCAATATAAAGCTTATTGAAAATAAGACAGTTGTCCCCAAGAAAATAACAAATTACCAATGCACTGCATAGGAGGATCCACAAAGCCCCAGGCTTTTCTGGGAAGGTTGTACTTTCAGCTGAGAAGTACAGGTTGGGCAGTCCTAATCAGAAAATTCAAAATCAAAAATGCTCCAAAATCTAAAACTTTTTGCGTACCAGGATGACACTCAAAAGAAAATGCTCGGCCGGGCGCGGTGGCTCAAGCCTGTAATCCCAGCACTTTGGGAGGCCGAGACGGGCGGATCACGAGGTCGGGAGATCGAGACCATCCTGGCTAACACGGTGAAACCCCGTCTCTACTAAAAAGTACAAAAAACTAGCCGGGTGAGGTGGCGGGCGCCTGTAGTCCCAGCTACTCGGGAGGCTGAGGCAGGAGAATGGCGTGAACCCGGGAGGCGGAGCTTGCAGTGAGCTGAGATCCGGCCACTGCACTCCAGCCTGGGCGACAGAGTGAGACTCCGTCTCAAAAAAAAAAAAAAAAAAAAAAAGGAAATGCTCATTGGAGCATTTTGGATTTCAATTTTTTTTTTTTTTTTTTTGAGACATGGTCTTGCTCTGTCACCCAGGCTAGAGTATAGTGACACAAACATGGCTCACTGCAGCCTTGACCTCCTGGGTTCTGATGATTCTCTCACCTCAGCCTCCTGAGAAGCTGGGACCACAGGTGTATACTACCGTGTGCAGTTAATTTTAAAATTTTTGTAGAGACAAGATCTTGCCATGTTGCCCAGCTAGTCTCGAACTCCTAGGCTCAAGCAATCCTCCTGCCTCAGTCTCCCAAAGTGTTAGGATTACAAGTGTGAGCCACTGCACCCAGCCTCAGATTTTCAGATTAGGAATTGTCAAATGTATAATTGTATAATGCAAATATTCCAAAATAAAAAAAAAAAAAATCTGAAATCTGAAATACTACTTGTCTCATATACTTCAGATAAGGGATACTCAATCTATACCAAATAACCTTTATTCTCTCTGCTGAGCAGGCTGAAGGAGGCCCAACAACAACCTGGATTGACAGCCAGTAATCCCCCTGCAGCCCCATTAACAAGACCAATGAAGCAAACATCTCAAGGTAAACCTGCCCAGACTGTGCCTCTTACAGGAGTGGGGCTCTAGGAGCCAGGTTAGCATTATGCTTGGCCACAGCTGATGGACTGGGAGGACATCTAACTCTATAATCACATTTTCTCTCCTAGGAATCTGGGATTGAGACTCGTCACCCTTCACTTCTGTGTTGTCACTTTAAGGAAGAACACACACCATCAGGCACTGTAGACTAGCTATTTGCAAGGGGAAGTAGAACAAGCAAAGCTGCTTGGTGAAAACAAAACAGAGGCAAAGAGTGGCAGGAAAACTAGAGACAATCTGGGCCCAAAGAGTCCTGCAGAGCACAGCTGCTTGGGAGCCTGACAGTATCCCAGTTCTTTGTTCCTGTCTGTCATAAGGCCCAGCTGTGCTTCTTATCCTTGAGCTTCATGAGACTCCTTTGATCCCTTACCTTAAACCTCCTTTAGTTCTAAATATTTTGAAGAGAGTTCCTATTTTCTGCAGCCAAGAAAATTTTGAAGCCAGAGAGGGGCTCATGCCTGTAATCCCAGCACTTTGGGAGACCAAGGCAGGAGGATCACTTGAGTTCAGGAGTTCGTGACCAGCCTGGGAAACAGGGTGAGAACTAATCTCTACAAAAAATGAGCTGGGCATGATGGCATGCACCTATAGTCCCAGCTACATGAGAGGCGGAGGTGGGAGTATTGCTTAAGCCCTGGAGTTCGAGGTTGTAGTGAGCTGTGTTTGTACTATTATACTCCAGCGTGAGTGACAGTGAGACCCTCTCTCAAAAAAAAAAAGCCTTGATGAAGTCAGCCCCACAGGATTGCTGAGATCCTGGGAGAGCCCCCAAGAATGGGCAGAGGGAGGGGATACAATTCTGCCTATTTAGGCCAATTTTCCAGCTCTTCTCACCATTGCTTTTGCTTTCCTAAAGCACATCTTAGCAACATATCTCAAGTTCAACTTCTAAAATTTGATCATGTACCATCAAGGTTGGTCCAGTACAACTGTTTATGGGCAGCAGCACTCCTCCCTCCCTAGGTACCTGAGGTTTCTCTTCTTCCTCCTCCTTCTGAGTCTGTGTCCTCTCATGTCGGTGCCGTCGGCGGTAATAGTGAGCATCATCTGTCACATTTGAAAACATATGAATATTTCCTGGAAAAGAAAGAGAAAGAAATACTTAGTATGGGATATGGCGAACACTCCTTCCTTGCCTTTTTCTTTTTTTTTGGAGACGGAGTTTTGCTCTGTTACCCAGGCTGGAGTGCAATGGCATGATCTCAGCTCACTGCAACCTCTGCTTCCTGGGTTCAAGTGATTCTCCCACCTCAGCCTCCTCAGTATTTGGGGTTACAGGCACCCGCCACCACGCCTGGCTAACTTTTGTATTTTTAGTAGAGATGGGGTTTCATCACATTGCAGGTTGGTCTCGAACTCCTGAACTCAAGTGATCCACCCACCTTGGCCTCCCAAAGTGCGTGAGCCACCGCACCCAATCCTTCCTTGTCTTTTTCAAGGTCCTTGTTCCCAGCTAGGTTTGTTAAGGATAGAGTATTGGCCTATTTTACCCAGTAGAAAAATAAGACAGTAGGCAAGCCAAGTGAACCAGCTGGAGCTAAAGTGTGCTGAGCTCTCCTGACTTCATTTAAATAGTCCTTTGCAACTAGTGAGAGAGAACCCCCAAAAGGCTAGAAGAGAGAGAGCATTTGGGCCATGAATACTATTTGGCATGTTCACATCTGCTTCCGTGCCCAATACCATATTGTGTCACTGGTATCTTTTAATAGCAACTCATAAAATTCAATTTACTTCCTGGGCATTGAATTATACCAACTTCCAACTTGCTGGGGGTACTTTCCTATCTTTTATCTTTGTAAGTGCTATTTTATAATAATAATAATAGGCATTTTGTTACTTATTTAAAAGGCACTTAAAAATATCTAATCCTCACAGTGACCCTGTGAAGTAGGTATTATTAACAGCCCCATTTTTCAGGAAAGGAAACAGGGTCAGAGAAACTAAATGATCTGGTCAAAATTATGCACAGCTGGAGGCTGGAGACTTGCCTCAAACTCCTGCTCAACTGATTCCAAATCCTTGCTGTTTCCATCATTCCATTGTCCCTCTATTCAGATTTTCAAACAGGAGTTTGCTGAGAGCCATAAATAAAGAAATATGTTTAAGAATGATAATTTGGGGAGACTAACCTGTAGGAAAATGTCCTCCAAAGAAGACGTTGAATAGTTCTTCTGGAGTGATGTCAGCTTCAAAATCCCTGTAATAATTATAAGGTCTGGCTCGAGGGGCAGTGAAAGTCACCTGTTCATCTCCGTATTCATCATAGCGAAGTCTCTTATCAGGATTGCTCAGGACTGCAAATGCATTTCCTATTGCTGCAATCAACAAGAAACAGCACATGAGGACACAGTCTTTGCTACGGCTGAGAGTGATCACAGCAGCAGTGATGAAGAGCCTAGAGGTGACTCGTGCTGGACAACTTCTCAGGGGCCCAAGGAGAGGTGCTTGGGCCTAGAAAGTTCTTCAAAGTGCTTGCCCTTCAGGTTTTCCCTAATCGCCAGAAACAACATTGGAATCACAGGAATTAAGAACTACTGCTGAAGTGAGTTAACTCCCAATCAACAGTCCTGGAGTCATCCCAGCTGTCCTAGAAGTTAGGAATCCCCCCTCAGTTTGGGTTCCCAGTCACCACAAGTCCCAGGAATGTTGGGGAAATGTTCTCCAACTGGTCAGCACTCTCATTCATAAAAAATGTGTTCTGGCCAGGCACAGTGGCTCATGCCTGTAATCCCAGCACTTTGGGATCTTGCAGTGAGCCAAGATCATGCCACTGCACTCCAGGCTGGGCAACAGAGTGAGACTTCGTCACACACACACACACACACACACACACACACACACACACACGAAGAGTGTTCTTTACTTTAAAAAAAATTTTTTTAGAGATGGGATCTTGTTACATTGCTGAGACTAGTCTCAGATTCCTGGCCTCAAGTGATCCTCCCACCTTGGCCTCCAAAAGTTTGGGATTATAGGTGTGAGCCACTGCATCTAGCCAAAACAGTGTACTTATTTCACTTGAGTGCAATGCTTTATGTTGGAAACAGTTCACATATCCATAGTGACATTCTAACTTGTAGTCAGAAAAATTTCCTGAATTCTACTCTGAAACAATCTTAATAAAAACCTTCCTGCCTGACTAAAAACAGTCTTCATCATAGTCTTATTTCAGTTAACTTTAGATAATTATTTTCTGAAATCAAGAAATGTATTTCCAATGTCTCAAGGAGGTTTCAAAGGCTGAATAATTACGTATGTTTACCAACATGTCTCCTTTCTATGTGCAAATGTGTGAACCTTGACCAATTTCATTTAAACATACAATCAGTAGCACCAATCAATACAAACCTCAAAAAAAAACCTTTTAAGGCATCCCCCACTCTCTACCTGTAATTTAGTCAACACTGTCAGAAACACAGTCAGAAAGAGTATTTCTTCATGATTCTTTTACCTGGGAAATTAAATGTTTGCCTTGCCACTCTGTTACCCACAACTCTATATATACATATGTACATATATATTCTAATAAGTATACATTTATTTTGCTGAACCATTTGAAAGTAGGCCACAGATAATGTCACCTTCCCCTAAATACCTCAACATATATCTCCCAAGGAGAAAGACATTCTCCTATGTGATCACAACACCATTATCACAGCTAAGGAAATTAACATCAGTTATCATCCAATGCATCCATGCAAGATCAAGTACTGCATTTAGTTTCTTTTAATCTAAAACTGTCCCCACCTTTTTTGTTTTTCATTATGTTAAATTTCTTGGAAGAACAGGTCAGTATTCTTGTAGAATATTTCATATTCTGATTGTTTCCTCATTATTAGATTCAGGTCAAACATTTTGGCAAGAATACCCCATAGGTGACAACAACCTAGCACTCAATGGCTTTAGAATTCACTGATGATCTCTGCCTGAAACAGTGACTTGGAGTGCAGTGGTGTAATCACGGCTCACTGCAGCCTTGACCTCTGGCTCAAGCAATCCTCCCACCTCAGCCTCCCAAGAAGCTGGGACTACAGGCACATGCTACCATGCCCGGCTAATTTTTTTTATTTTTATTTTTAGTAGAGATGAGGTCTCACTATGTTGCGTGGGCTGCTCTCAAACTCCTGAGCTCAAGCAATTCTCCTATCTCAGCCTCCCAAAGTGCTGGGGTTTACAGGTGTGAGCCACCATGCCTGGCCAGGTGAAGCTCTTAAGATTTGTATTCATGTGTTGGGTCCAAAATATTTTTAAAGAATGTATTTCTTTTTTTTTTTTTGAGATGGAGTCTCGCTCCTGTCGCACAGGCTGGAGTACAGTGACGTGATCTTGGCTCACTGCAACCTCTACCTCCCGGGTTGAAGCAATTCTCCTTCCTCAGCTTCCCGAGTAGCTGGGATTACGGGCGTGCACCACTAGGCCTGGGTAATTTTTGTATTTTTAGTAGAGAGGGGGTTTCACCATGTTGACCAGGCTGGTCTCAAACTCCTGACCTCAGGTGATCCACCCACCTCGGCCTCCCAAAATGCTAGGATTACAGGTGTGAGCCACTGCGCTCAGCCTAAAGAATATATTACTTAAAATATCATGGAGGACGGGCACAGTGGCTCACACCTGTAATTTCAGCACCTTGGAAGGCCTAGGCAGGCAGACTACTTGAGCTCAGGAGTTTGAGATCAGCCAGAGCAACATGGCAAAACCTCGTCTCCACAAAAGATACAAAAATTAGCCAGGCATGGTGATGCTCACCCGTAGTCCCAGCTCCTTGGGAGGCTGAGGTGGGAGGATCACTCGAGCCTGGGAGGTGGAGGTTGCAGTGAGCTGAGATGTCACCACTGCACTCCAGCCTAGGTAAAATCAAGGGAGCTATGCTGATGATCACTATTTAAGAGGTGTGGCAGGGGGAAAAACCCTCCTTATGGCCTTATGAAACAACTATGGGGAAGGCTAAAAGCAACTTATTATGACCAATCATGACAAGGGCACCATTGAGCATTGGTTCAGGATCAGACCTTTGAAAGCATCTGTTGCTCCAGGAGCACAGTTCTTGTCAGGGTGAAATTTCAGGGCGAGTTTTCTGTAAGCTTTCTTAAGCTCTTCATCACTGGCATCTCGAGAAACTCCCAGAATTTCATAGTAATTTCTGCATTTCTTGATCCTAAAAAAATCAGAAACATGTATGTCTACAAAGGCCCCTTTTGTACAACTAACTGCAAGATAATACATTGATCCTCCCTCTAATCTGTGGGACCCAAAACAAACCTAGAAGAAAATTAGTGCACACGTTAATGAAACATTCAAATTCATTAACAATGTCCTTCTCCCATCCAGAACTTAATGCCTTTCAAAGTACTTTTACATCTACTATTTATTCTTCCTATATCCCTGCAAGGGAG